GTGCCTCATGGAGATGATGGCCTCGAGGGCTGGCCGGCCGAGGATAATGTTGTGGGCGCAGTCGATGTTGACAACGACGAACTCCACTTCGAGCTGGGCTCTATGGAGCCCGTCGCCGAAGATCACCGGGAGGGTTATTACCCCCTCGGAATCAATAGTATCGCCGGTGAAGTCGGCAAGAGGGTCTTAATGGGCCGAAGGGACCCCCTCTCCAGATGCAGCTCTCTGAAGGTGCTGAGGTACATTACATTGACGGAGCTGCCCGTGTCAATGTAAGTTCGGTTAATGATGGTGTCGTTTATTTCAGTCCGAATCACCAAGGCATCCCTGTGAGGAGAAGAAGTAGGAGGGAGATCTGCGTTGGTGAAGGTGATGGGTTCCTCCCTCAGTCGCTTTACCGGGGGCATATGAGTGACTTCCCCTACGTAAAGCGATTGAGCCCACTTCTTTCGCTGGCTGGTGGAATCGCCCCCTGTATTGCCACCGGTGATCATGAGGATGTGGCGTCTTTTCTCCTGGTAGTGGGGGTACTCCTCCTCTTCTTCTTCCAAGTTTCCGATCTCCCTCTTCTTGCCGAGGGGGATGGTGTTCGGGTTTACCCAAGCGTTCACCTTCGTGTGGTGCCCTCGGGGAGGTCCCTGATGAGAAGGTCCCTCCTGCCGAGGGCTCTGAACAAATTGGGACAGGTGCCCCGCTTGTATCAATCTCTCGATGGCCGTCTTTAGCTGATGGCAGTCATCGGTTCTGTGCCCCTGTTGCCGATGGAAACGACAGTAGGGGAACTGAGGGTTGATAGCATGTACCTCCGGGGGGCGCGAGAATCGCGCTCAACGAGGCCCCTCTCCTCGGCAAAATCAAGGATGATGCTGACGGGGTGCGTCAATGGTGTCCGAGGGCGGTCCAGGAGAATGGGCTGTGCCCAAGTCTTAGGGCTGCTCTTATAGCCTCCCCCGGGCTTGGCTTGGCCTTGCCGAGGGCGGTCATCAGAGGGTCCTGAAGCCTTGGGGTGATTTGGAGGAGCCCCCGGCCCTCGGTTGTTTTTGTTGTCAGCCCTCGGGGGCTGCTGATCCGGATGCTGGTGATATTTCTCCACTTCCTCGGCCTCAGCATATCGGTCCCCCCACTGCAAAGCCCTTATGTAGTCGCGGGGGGGTTCAATGATGAGGCTCCTTGAAAAGTTGCCGGTGCGGAGGACGGTTTGTAGGAGGGCTAGGAGGGTCCCGTCATCAGCACCGTCGACTTTGTCGGCTTCCGTCCTCCAGCGCTCCAGGAAGTCCCGAAGGGTCTCATCCCTCTTCTGGCGTATGGTTAGGAGGTGGGAGAAGTGCTTCCTTGTGCGACGCCTCCCGGCAAATTTTGTCAAGAATCGCTGGGCGAGCTCTTGCCACGAATCAATGCAGCCCTCGGGCAACCGGTTGAACCATTCGTATGTCGGCCCCTCTATGGTGGAGAGGAACCAACGACACAAATATTCGTCCGACGCCCCTACCATCATCATGCTGTTTTGATATTTGCTGTAGTGTTCCTGGGGGTCCGTCTTCCCGTTATAGGGCTGTATGTGTTGCCCTCGGTATTTTTCCGGGATCCGGGCCGCCAGTACCCTTGGATGAAGGCGGAGAGCGCCGATTGAACGTCGATGGTGAGGACCGGAGGGCTGATTTGGTCGTCGCTCCGGTTTTTCTTCTTGGCCTCGATGCCGAGGCGGGCATCGGGGGCATTCTGTTGGATCTGAAGGCGTAGGTCGACAGCCGCCTGTTCCAGTCCAGCGATGACACCGCCCTCGAGAGCCCTGTGAGAGGCTTCGGGGGCGTTGACGTCGCTGAGGGCCAGGTTCTTGTCTTCTACGTTTTTGGAGTTGGCACGTGTTGTTCTCACCATTTTTGGTAGAGGGCTAGTGTTTGGCGAAGGGGGGGGGGGTTCTTACTTGATTGTTCAACCTCTCAACGAGAGCACCAAATGATGGATAGTCTGCCCGGGGGGTATATATCCGAGGGGTTATTGCAGGGAATAACTTAGAGAGAAGTCAGAGCATAAATAAATAAGAGAGAGAGTGTATTCAGTCTGAATGTCGTGGTTACAAATGGGGAAATGGGGTGCTATTTATAGTAGCAATAAATGCCGGACAGGGACACGTGCCAAGCGCCCATTGGCCGAGAGGTCACCTCAACTGGTTGGCGTTGGCAGTCGCATGTGGCCGCATTTAATGCGGCTGTTGGATGGGACGTCTGTACAGGGTACGGTGATCTGTACGCATGTGAGGCGGATATCATGTCGGGAGAGGTGCCCTCGGCTGCAGAGGACTAGCCGAGGGCTCTTATTGCCGAGGACCCCCGAGTGCCGAGGGCTCCAGGTGTCGAGGGCTACTGTTTTCTGTCGTTTTCCCCCCAGTTTCTTAGTTTGCTCGAGAAACCCGTTCTGTGAGAGTTTCAGCCTTCGGCCAGGGGGCCGAAGGCACCCCTGGCGCGTATTGCGGGCTGCTTGGTACTCTGGGCGTTGTGATTTGGGCCTGTTGGGCCTTCTGGGCCTGTTGGGCCTTTACAGGAGTAGTAGGAGTCTATGGGCCGGGGGTTCCCGGGCCATATACTCCATCAGAGTAAAGTGCAGGAATTTTGATTTATGTTTTGCTATGAGAGCAATAACTTGTTTTTTCACTTTGATTTCAAGAATATGACTTTAGATAATTTGAGTTTAAGATAATTGATAACAACAACTAAGGCTTCGGGAATCACCTAAACACTCTTCACTAGTATTGATTTAAGTTCTTTACAAACAATTATGAATACGATGTCGCTAATATATTCCCAAATCCGGTGTAGGCAGCAGGAGCGTGTTTTTCGTTACGTGTAAGTCCCGTTACGGCTTACATTCATTCACTGAAAACTTCGTTGAATATCAAGACATCACACACGTATCATATAAGACCAGATATATTTCTATTCTCGGTTCTATATATGTTTATCCGTTAAGTTCATAGTTTAGTCCTCAATCTTTTGATTGCAAGCATAAATTAAGTTTAATATACTTTCATGTTGATCATCATAATCATGCATAATTAAATTATAAAGGATAAATCACAATTTACTGGTTCAGAACTTTTATCAAACGCCTAGTATGTGTAAAGGACCTAGTATGTGTAAAGGTTCATCCCTAGCCTTAGCTAAGGATTTAGTTTCTTGAGCTCATACAACTTACAAAAGAGTAACAAATATAAAGGAATACAACAACATACAAGAAATATTACCTAAAACCAATTGTAGAGGAGAGAATTGGCTTCTTCTCCAACTCTTCAAGAGAATGCAAAAATAAAATATAAAAACTGAAATTTAAACTTCAAGGATGGACTGATGATCTTGTTTGATAAATTCAGAGTTTTATATAGGCTAAAGAATGACATCTTTTAACTATTCGAGCCCAACAATCAGGTATGGAAGCAATATTTTATCATATCTTTGAGAAGGTGAGTTTTGCCCATCAAGAATGGGTTGCACATCTCATTGTTTTGTGCATGAATTAAACAAACCAGTGCTGGTTATAGGCCGGACCGGCGCCGGTTCACCTCTGGCGCTGGAATCTCCCGTGTAATAAGAACATAACCGGCGTCGATTATAAGGGCCAACCGGTGTCGATCTGCTCTAAGCTCTTTGACACGTGGCAGTTATAAGGGCAAACCGGCACTGGTTCTCCCCACATTTGTATATTTTGACTGTTTGCTCTGTTTTGATGCCCTTAGTTGCCCCCGAAGTGGTGGTTCTTGGTCCTTTTGACTTGTTGCCTCCCGTTTCTTCATTCCTGACCGTCTTTGCGTGTTTTTTCTCAAGTTGAGATTTTTACCTGTTTCTCTTTGTATTTTTGTACAGACAACTTAATTACCTATATAAAATATAGGTAACTATGGTGCTTATCATATATCAACTCCAATCATTAACTTCAACAACAGAGCATTGTATCTGTGTATTGATTGTTTATTTATTTAAGCTGTGGTGTCTTATATCAGTTGGACTTTATCTCAACTCTCCTATTTTTTGGTTAATTTGACATTTCAAATTTGAACTTGAAGGAGGAGAAACTGAAATGTCAGATGGAATATATGGAATCAATTAAGAAGCTGAAAGAAAAGATTAGTAAACAACATGACCAGAGCAATGGAGTCACCAACGGAAAATGTATTGGAGAGGTTGCTTGTATTTAGGTCACTGTAACTGTGTACTTTTCATTCTTACTTTCCTCTTTTCCTTACAAAAGAACATGAAATGGTAGAAAATGAAGTGAAAGAGATAAGACGTAATATTTGAGAATGTGAGATGCCATTTTCCTATTTGTCATAAGGTGCACATAGGTCCATAATGCCGCAGGTTACTTGATGTTTTTCAAGACAAAATCACTGAGGGAGCAAATTGAATTTTTTGAGAGATTGTTAGCATCAATTATATTAGTGTCATTCATAAACAAACACATGAAGGGTTATTGTCCATTTATCCAGCCATATTTCCTTGGCAGAATGTTATGCGCACTTCATGATAAGAGAGAGGACTATGAGCTCTATGTGTCCTTTTCCTCCCCTATATCACTCACTTTTCTGATCAGAAACAAATTTATCTGTTGTTCTTTTGTACTTAGTTTGAGATGCCCTAAATTTCTTTCCTGCGTACAGGGGGCATAAGGGATTTTGTTCAGAGGAAGTGGCTGGTTGAAGAGGTTATATGCATGCTACCTGATGAAATTGCATTAAGAAAAACAATAGAACTGAAATATTTGAAGCGCTTTATGTCATTTTAGTGCATTATACGACTCACAATGATGTTATATCCGTTCTGGTAAAAGACGTACGGGGCACTGCCAACAGTGATGTGTCACCTATTAAGTGTAGTGCCATGTTGAGCTTGCACTCTGCCACTTAGCACAACAAAGTAATCTTCGAATGTGGCTAGCTAGTTTTTCTTCTCTCCTTAACATGTGCAGGGACATTCAGTTTTTAAAGCCATTTCTCTCTATTATTGGGGGGAAAGTAGTGCAAATTAAAGCCGTTTCGTTTTTAGCCCCTTTGGGATGAATTATTATTGAAAATGACTACTCTAGCTAGTTCATTGAGTAGATCAACCAATTTGACAAATTGTTGACACTTAGCAAAAATGAGTATGGAGATGTGAGGAGGCAGCAGGGATTTCGAAATGCCAAAGGTTTCCCACTGCATCCACTAAATGTTTCCTACACAAGAACAGCTCAGCGTACACCTTCTCCACTTTGCGGTTCACGTCGTGCAGGAACACGTGCGTCACACCAGATCGCTTCCTGTTCCGCGCCATCACGCCCGCCGAGTAGATGGACCCCATCCTCCCCGGCGCTTCCCCGTAGTACCCCCTCGGCCCGTCAATCATGATCAGGTCCCACTCCTTGTCGTAAACGTCGCTGGGGAGCGCGTGCAGAGCCAGCCTGCACCGGAGGTTGCCGCGCAGGAACGACTTCCGAGCCGAGCAATCCGGCTCCTCCCTGAAATGCTGGACCAGCTCCGCCGCTTCCGACAGCTTCGTCGAGTACTTGACCACGTGCGCCGTCAGGTTCGGGTGGTTGGGCCCGCCGCCGACTATTGCGTCGTAGACCTTTGGGTCCTCCTCTAGGAACACCGTGGTGCCGTGCAGATTGAAGGAGGCCCACATGAGCGAGTCGTAGCCCAGCCCGAAAACTAGGAAGTTGGTGGGCCCGAGCTTTTGGAGCACGTCCTTGCACACTCTGATCTCGTCGATGCTTTGTTGCGTCGTCAGGCGCGAGGTGGCGTAGTGGAGGATGGCTTCCAATAGCTGCCGGGTTTCGGCGGTGCCGCCGCCAGCTGCCACCAGGTCTGTTGTCTCGCAAATGGCCGCCGGAGCATTTGCCGTTTGGAGAAAAGCCATTCTGATGAAACATGCGCCGCCTATCAAACCGAAAGTCAGAATTCCCAGGAACCATGTCTGATTAATCTTAAACTGGACAAAAGACATCCTTGTTTATTCGATTTCTGACTTATTAGTATCGAGAACAATGAATGCATCTCGATCATTTTCCTTGGTTAAACAAATCAAAGCCATATATAATATATTTGCTATTAAAAAACTTCTCCCATTTTAATTAATTTGTAACTAAATGTGTCGTTTGGATGCATGATCGAACTAATTAAGCTCCTTCCAGTAAAACCAGGAGTGCGTGCAGATTTCCGAATTCTTCGTAGTATGAGGAATCCCTAAAACGATCCTGAACCACTACATACAGAAAAGGCCTTTTGACTGCTTCTTTCATGCATCCATGTTTTTTGGATCTATTAACAATGCCAAGCATTTTTTTGTTGCTTTGTATATCCACAACATAGAATCAATTTCTATTCTAGGTACCGAGTACTTCATATTCTTTCATGTTCTAAAAGAGATTAAGAAAATAAATTTGAATTTAGTGTGCAGTGCACTGTTTGGCACTGTTTGGACACTGTTTGACACTGTTTTGCGTTGTTTTGGTGTAGATAATTTGCAAAATAAGAAAATAAGAAGAAGTGTGAAGTTAATTTCGGGACTTCCCGAAAAGGAAAGTGAGAAGTTGTTTGGGAACCGGAGGGAGTATTAAATATTCCGTGTCTCAAAATGTTATCATTCAATTTATCTCGCTTGTCATTTTAATTTTATTTTTTAATGGAAAAGGCTTAAATTGATATATCAAAAACTCGCAAAACATTCACCACATAAACAGAGCTGTCTAATGAATTTTCAGGCCTCGATTCAAAATGCAAATTTGGGGCACCACATAAGAATTGTAATAATAAAAATCATATACAGAGTATAATAACAGAGTCATTAAAGCCCAAAATTTTGAGCTCCTCTTTGAGATTCGATTGGCGCATCCAATCTCTTTTTTTCATTCATTTTTCATGCCCCGATGCATACTTTCTAATTCTTGAAGACGTGAAGAATAAGTAGATGTTTCAAGCTAGAACAATATCACCTGAGCACACGCAAAGTTTGATTGTTAGGATTATGAATGTTCCGACTATAAAACTTTAAATGAGAGATTGATAGTTGAAAACTCTCGACCAGCCAACCTGAAAATGGGAAAATCTGAAAGTAAATTTCAAACTAAAAATCTGAAATCTTAAATTATAAATTAAAAAATTATATCCTGAAATTAACAATAACAACATCTCAAAATCTGTTTGGCTGGCGCTGCGTCCTACGAAGGCTGCTGGCTGCGACTCAAGAGAGGCTGGAGGCGAAGAGCAGTCCAAGAGCAGAATTGCAGGAAAAGAGGGCAAGACTCAAGAGGCGAAGAACGGTCCAGACTCGAGCAGATGGGGCAAGTGGCGGTCCGGCGGAGCAGGCGGTTGAGGAATGAGGCGGACGGCGGAGCAGGCGGTACCGGCAGAAAAGAAGTAGAGAAGTCGAGAATTGAGAAGTCGGGAATGAGGGGTGTTTGGATCTAATTCTTAAAATTGCTTCTGCTCTTTGAGGGAGCAGAAACAGAAGTTGGAGTGTTTAGGTGGAAGTCCAGAAGCGATTATGGTGCTCTAATTTACTCCTATAATTACTCCCTCCGGATCTTTTTAAACTTCACCCTTTCTTTTTTGGGACAGTCCAAAATAAACTTCACACTTCCTTATTTCCTTATTTGGCAAAGAAATCTACATCAAAACAGTGTTAAACAGTGTCTCAACAGTGCGAAACAGTGTCTCAACAGTGTCAAACAGTGCCAAACAGTGTCTCAACAATGTACTCTACAGTAAAGTCAAATTTATTTTCATAATCAATGTGAAGTAAAACTGTGAAGTTTAAAAAGTTCCGGAGGGAGTAATTTTTTTAGAAGCGAGGGTGACCAGCTTCTGAAAACTAATTCTGCTTCTGCTATAAAAAAGAAGGAGAAGCGGAATCAGTTCCAAACACCCCCCTGAGTCTTCGGTTTGTCGTTTGAAGAGGCGGAACTCAGCGGAAGACTCAAAGAGTCGCTACCAGCTCCGTTTCACATTTGAGGCCTTTTAATTGTTATTATGTTTATTTATTTATTAATATATACTTCGTACTCCGTATAATCTAACTATATACTATTACTATTTAAAAATTCGCCCCCCCCCCCCCACCCCCCAAATTGGTGGGCCCTGTTTCAGATGACACAATGAACCTGCTAAAAACCGGGCATGCAGATAAACACACTCATTTCGATCACAAGCTTCAGGATTAGACATAGAATTACTAGTACAAATGGAAGCGCTAACCATTGCTCGGGCAACTTGAAACCTAAAATGACCAAAAGGGAAGGATTGCCCCTCAAAACATCACTCGAGTTCACAACGAAAGTAAAGTGCGTCACAACGAAAGTACTTGTCATTGTACTTTTCAAATACTTCAAAGTACTGACCTCCCATTAACGGGAGAAGCCACCTCACAGTTTCAGGTAGAAGTCGAGCTTGCTACCAATACTCGTTGCTTCGGGAAGGATCTTGGGGAGAAGACGTGGTTCGTACTTCATCCGTTTTGTTTTAAAACAATTACATTAATGCTCATGGATATTATTTTATGAATAATTATTTGGGGGCTTGTATGCCTAACTATGTCGAGTGTGGCTTGAACACTTGTATTAATGTTTTCGCTGCTTTAATGCATATTTTACATCATGTTTGTTTATTGATGTACTACGTGTGAATGATATTCCAGATGTCTTGTATAGTATGAATTGTTGAACTGTGGTTGACTATTCGTACTGTACAACGGGTTGTTGACGTGTCCGGGTAGGTTCGGGACGTGACACTCCAAGTGGCGCCTTTTGTAGTGTAATTCAAAAGCTGCAACTTCAAGTGACGACTTTCGTTAACCACGGTTAACCCACCAGTATTTTGGTAATTATTTTTAACCCAACAGTATTTTGGGAAGTATTTATTAAATAAGCATTATTCCAAGAAAAAACTCAATCATGTGTGTGTGGACAAATATACCATTGTAGCTTTCAGAACTAAAATAAATACTCTCTCCATCCCCCAATTAAGTTCTCACTTTCTTTTTTGGGCAGTCCCACAATTAAATTCACACTTCCCTAAATTCCTTATTTGGCAAATTATCTACATCAAAACAGTGCCAAAAGTGCCAAACAATGTCCAAGCAGTGTCCAAACAGTGTCAAACAGTCTCGAAACAGTAAAATTTACCCCCCAGTAAATTTATTTTCTTGATATGTGTGAAATTCATCTAGGAACTTAATTGGGGGACGGAGGGAGTATTTAATAAATTTAATTAAATAAAAAAATTAGAAAACTAAATATTATAAATAAAAAAATCAAAAAAAAAAAACAAAAAGAAAGTTTAAAATAAAAAATGCAAGCCTTTGCACTAGGGGTGGGATCGGTCTGGGCTGGGTCGGGTTTTTGCTCTACCTGGAAATTACCCGAAACTTCTCGGGTCATGAAAAAGTGGGACCGGAAAAAAGCCCGACATATTCGGTCTGAACCGGGTTTTTTGAGGCTCTGGTTCGGTCCGGGTTCGGGTAGGGTCGGTTAAAGCCCAATAAAAAATATCATTGTTTTTATTTAAAAAAAATTCAAAAAAATGTTCGATAATCAATCAAATCGATTCAACCTTCACATTTTCTGTTATAGCCAAAGCAAATCTATTTGATCAATAATTCAAAGGCTATAAAGCAACGATATTTCAATTTCTAGCACAAAAAAGTATTGATCCAAAACACTCATGAAGAGCCAAACATAAATACTAGCAAAATCTCAACAACAAAAATTTAGACTTAAGAGAACGAAGTTCTGACAAAATGATGTTTCTTTTTAAGATGGATTCAAAAACAAAGCAAATTAGAAGACACCAAGTGAATATTTGGACTTGTTTTCATAGAATATCTTAATTTTTTATAATAAAATATAATGAAATATTCGGGCCGGGTTTTAGCCGGACCGGGCCAGTTTCTAATTTTTAGGGACCAGATTTGGGCCCGGAATTTCAGGTTCGGTCCGGGTTTTTTTTAACCAGCCCGTCAAAAAAAAACGGCCCAATAACATTTTTCAATCCGAGCTCGGGTCAGTTTTCGGGTTTCGGTTCGGTTTTTCCCTCCCCTACTTTGCACCGCCTCTACCACCTCCAACACCACCAGCTCCGATCACCGGAAGCGGATGACAACATGCATTGGTAATGCCATATTGATGACGGTTTGTATGAAAATTTTGGCATTATCAACAATAATAATGACATTTTCTTGACATTATCACAAAATGACACTTTTATACAAAATGACATTTTTTGACCAATCAGAGATGGTGGTGCTGGGAGGCAATTGGAAAGTTTTGATTTACAAGTAAAAGCGATTGGAAAGACATCAATTTTTATGCGTTTTTACTATTTTTATTATTATTATTTTCAACTTTTTCTTGAAAATTTTATTTTAGAAAGATTGTAATATTTTTTTATTAATTTCTTACGATTTTTATTATTTTTTACGATTTTATTATGAATTAAAACATTTTATTAGGTATTAAAACTTTATGAATTAATACCATAAGGTGTATTTAGGGTAGAAAATTAATGTTTAGTCCTATTTATAAATGAATTAAATTTGGGAAAATTGAAACTAATAATCCAACCTTTTAGCGGTCTTCTTACAATAGTCACACATTTTCATTATTCATGAATAATCCAACTTTTGCACCTCATCTTCATTCACTGGTTCCCGACCGATTTATGACCTGTAATTCCAAGTTATTTTCTTATCTTTGTAAAACATTATACCATAATTCTCACCTTATGATCACATAGTATTTTGCAAAGATAAGAAAATAACCTGGAATGACAGGTCATAAATCGGTCCGGGAGCAGTGAATGAAGATGGGGTGAAAAGGTTGGATTATTCATAAATAATGAAAAAGTGAGACTGTCGTAAGAAAAGTACTAATTTCCATTTCCCCATTAAATTTTAGTACTATTTGTTCAATTAAGTTTTGATTTAGTCCCGGCCGCAATTACCATGTATTATTATACCGTACTAAAATAACGTACATACGTTATTAAACCCAAAAATACCGTACCATGATTTTACAGTATTAAACCCAAAAATCAAACACCGGTGTTGACGTTAATCAAACAATGTACGAAATATTACTCCCTCCGGTTCACCGTTTTGCACTATTTAGACACTGTTTGACAATGTTTTGCAGTGTTTTAGTGTAGATAATTTGTCAAATAAGGAAATAAGAAGAAGTGTGAAGTTAATTTCGGGACTTCCTAAAAAGGAAAGTGGGAAATTGTTTGAGAAACGGATGGAGTATTTCTTACCGGTTTTGATTTATAAAGAATTTACTATTATTACTGTGTAGAAATCAAACATCCTTTCTCTGTTATTCTAGGTGATGACGTTAATAAACCAAAAAATCTTCCAACCATCCTATCGCCATCTATTATCTAGCTAGCAGCCCAAAATACTGTATATATAATCTTTTGATCGATCATCACACCAGGCCACTTACTTACCACCTTAGCAAGCTTTCTCCGGCCGGCCATATGATATAATATGATCTCAGAGACCGACCCCACAAATTAAAAAGCTAAAGATAGATAGAAGGTCGATCAGAACGAAAGAAATCAAAGAAGCTTAGCTTGCTGGATTATTTATTAATTATATGTATTAAAGGTAGGTAGGGTGATCGAGGGCGGATCGATGAGCTGCGGCGGCGGCAGTGGGGGTGGGGGCCCTTGCGGGGCGTGCAAGTATCTGAGGAGGAAGTGCGTGAGTGGGTGCGTGTTCGCGCCCTACTTCGAGTCGGATCAGCTGGGCACGGCTCACTTCGCCGCCGTGCACAAGGTGTTCGGGGCCAGCAACGCTTCCAAAATGCTCATGGCCATTCCCGACAACCGCCGCCTTGAAGCCGTCGTCACTCTCTGCTACGAAGCCCTCGCTAGGGTTAGAGACCCCGTCTACGGCTGCGTCGCCCACATCTTCACTCTCCAACACCAGGTGCGTGCGCGCGTCCTAATAATTATTCCATCCATACATTCATAATTAAGTACTGTGTGTTAATTGCTAGCTAGCACCAATCTCCAGCTTTTAAATTTCCATGCCTTTATGTCTATTTCTTGCACACAAAAGTTTAGATTTAATTCCATCTGCTCGCTTTTAATTGTGTAATTTTATTCACTTTTTTTTTTTGAAAGGATGTAATTTTATTCACTCGTATATTTGATTATGTAATTAAAAAAATTGCTATGTTAAAAACTTTTTAATCATATTTGACACAAACGACTTCAGTTTTGGTATAACTTTTTGCCGTGTATTTAAAAAAGTTTTTAAAATGAACGCATTTACTATTTGCGTCATGATTTTTTGCAAGTGAGTAAAATTAATTGTATGATGATTAAGAACGCTTACAATAGAAAACTACCGACTAAAATTACAAATTTCCTTTGATTATATTCGGTGGAAATTAAATAGATCCATATAGCCAAGTATGCTAATAGGACTAGTATGTTTTTCTTTTTCCGAAATAGAATTTATTACTGTCATGTATGAAAAATACTGTCATCATTGAAAAATACTGTCATTAATTATAATAAATACTGTCATGTTAAATGCATTGTACTGCAACTATTTGGCAGTCACAGCTACAAGATGACAGTAAATACTGACATGTTAGTCTCATTTCGAGATTAAAAACAAAGTAGTCTTATTTTGAAATTTGAAACTTCATTTACTCCTATTTTCAGAAATCTCCCATTTTAGGCTAGCCCCATGACCTCTTTTGATCTCAAAGAAACATTATAGAAATCCGATTAAATATTATCGTAGTACAGTATTAGTTTCTATAGGTGAGTGTTTAGACTTGAGCGGTATAGAAACTGCTCGACACCAGTATCTTTATGCTGAAGAAGTGAATTGCATATTCAAAACTCAATGTAATATTATCTTTCTTTTCATTTTGTCTCATTATTATTGTTTCATATCAAATTTGGTAATTTTGTGTGGAAATCATTATTACTTTATTCTTACTTTATTATTTTAATATCAATTACATAAATTTACATTTCCTATTAAGCATGTCACTTGACTTTTCATATCTCAATATTAGTGAGGCGAATGTACGCGCTACCATTTTGATTTGAGTACTCTCAAAATTGAACAAATTTAATTACTTCGAGTATGGATGCCGAAATAAGTGTCATTGCACACTAACATCGCATTATATTATACCGAGTAATGAGCAACTTTGTCAATGCCGAAATAAGTGTCATTATATTATACCGAGTATGGAGTAACAAATAACAACACACCATCAATCCTAACACAAAGTTTATGTTTTAATTATTACTCCCTCAGTTTCATTGTACTTTGTCAACTATCCTTTTCTGTATGTCCCAAAACACTTTGTCATTTTTCTATTAAAATAACTAATTTGCGATTCTGCACATTTCTCTCTATTCTGCACAAATCTCAACCACACATTTTTTACTATTCATATTTTTCATCTACTTTGCACTTGAAAAAATCCACCGAGGCGGATGTAGTACTCCGTATGTAATGATGGAATAATTAAAGAGAAAGTTATAAATGCGCTTTGTGCGAGAATTCAATGCTCGAGAAGCTACGGAGTCTGGGAGCAAAAAAAAGCAGTCAATGTCGTAAGAAATGGTGTACGTAGCTGGATATATAGATGAGGAAATTCACTCACCATCTATTCACAGTCATTTAACATCCTACGACAAGTACTCTTTTTTGGGAAAATAAAGACCATAATTTTGGGAAAACAAATAAAATTCATAAAATTCTAAGAAATATATAGTGTCAAATCTATAAATAGTTAGAAAACTAAAAATGAAAAGTTTACGTGCAATTCGAAAACATAAAGTTCTATAGAAAAGTTACATGCTGTATATATTAAATTGAGATAAAACTGATACTGAAAATTTACATACAATTCGAAAAACACAAAATTAAAAATAAAACTAAAATGTAAGAAGATAATTTTGGTTTTCAAACATAACTAATTTATACTGCGTTTTTGTGAAAAATAAAATGTACAACATTTTTCAGAAGGACTAAAATATGCATAACTTATACGGAGTATTTTTTATTTAAAATACTTTTTATTAAAAAATCATATTTATATACTTAATGTTTTACCTTGTTCAGGTTATATTTAAATTTTAACATTCATTGCAACTTGTTTCGTATTTATTAATTTCTATATATGTAGCAACAATTTTCTCTAGATTTAAAAAGGTTTACCTCCCATCCTATTGGAATTCATTTACGCTAAAAATTCCAAATTGTTTTTTCCAGAGTAAGTGTGCTTGTACGCATGGATGGATCACTGGATCTACCCTTTCCCTAGACCCTTGGCCCCCTCACTTTTTATAACTCCAAATTGATTTCTCTAAAAAAACTCCAAATTGAATATTATTGTATGTATTTTAAATTAGTAGCTTAAAATTAATAAGATTGCATGTTTGGCCTTTTGTTAAATAGTCCATATTATCTAAGTACAATTAGGATGTATCACTATCAATAATAAAATCAATTTATACTCCAAATTACACGAATATCATTAATTTACTCCGTATAACAATGAATACGACTAAACTTTCTTCACTACTTTACACATCATACTCCCTTCATCCCGCTACAATTGTCTCATCTTGCATTTTCGATTCGTCCTACTAATATTGTCTCATCATTATACGAAATTTGGTAAATTTTTTGTGGTTCTAAATCATTTATACTTTATATAAATTTACCGTAATTTTGGCCAGAAGGATGAGGGGTGGTGAGGGGATAATGGTCACGGACTAAGTGTGGACAATCTGAAAGTAAGAGACTAAATAAGGAAGTGGTATAATAGTCATGGTAACAAAAATGGAATTTTTTCATATATAATACTCCGTATAATGCAAAAAAAAAATTACTTGTTTGCCAGCAAAAAAAATTACTTCTGATTTCTACGGTCCATACCGAGTAGATACCAAATACGGAGTATAGTGCAATTGACTTTTTTTTAGGAACGAATGTCCGTTTGTTCCTCTAATTATTAAATTACTTGTTTGCCGGAACATACAACTATACAAGTAGCTCTGAATCCTCTGATTCCTTGAAATGTACTTTAGCAGCTCAACTAACTAACAATTTCACATTAATAAATCGTAGAAGTACAGTTCTTTGACTTTATTGCATTGTTTATCTTAATTACGGTTTTCATAGAATATTTTTACCTGGGCTAAAAAAAAATTGTCCGATCTGATCTGGTCTGATCAACTGTGATCTGACCTAACCTGGTCTGCTCTGGTGAATGTTTGATCTCTGTGTGTTGGTCCAAAATAGGACGCTCGTATGCTTTTAGGAAAGCTACGTACTACACTCAAGCAAGAATCAAGAAAGTAATATGAATATGGAAAGTTGCAAAGAGAATTTGGTAGCCAGAAATATCATATAGAATTCCCCCCTTTAATTTCAATTACAACCCTCATTTTATAGGCGTATACAAATCGTAACCGCTACCGATAATAATGATTAATTAATTACAACATTAATACGGAATTAAATACATAATTAATAACGTATTAATTGCTTGACTGTTACTCTTCCGGGCTGGAAGGTCGGCCGGACTGGAAGGCTCCCCACTGGGCAGGCAGACAGGCTCCAGGTTGTGGACTTGGATCCACGGGTTCAAGTTCGGGGTTTGGAGTGATTAGGCTATGGGTCTAGTCCCATTACTCCATCATGAGTCCCCCACTCCCTTAGTCGAGTAGTAAACTCGGCTAAGAGGGAATAGTCCAAGTCAGATACTCTTCTCCGAGACTAGAAGATCTCCGCGCTTGTCCATGTTGGGAAGATGCCTCATTAAAAACCTTCATTAGAAAAAAAAATCCAATGGGATAAAGTCCTAATGAAGGGAAAAAGAGTACATCTGACGCCTCCAAGATGAAGCAAGAGGTGAGATCATCAGCCTTTATTGCAATGGTCGCCATCTGTGAATAGGATGGCTAGAATTGTTCTTCTCATCGGGCTCAGACTCGTCAGGTTCGTCATTTGCTTCCTTGAAGACGGTAAGACCCTCAGTCCCCCACTTCATTCAGTTGTACCTACACATAAAAGAAACTAGTGTAGAATAGAGCATCTGCCCTCGTGTCGAACCACGACTCTGTGTGTAAGTGAGTCAGACTCGATACTTGAAAAGAGTGACATCAAGTTCCCAAGTTAGGCCTTAACCTAGCCTCCGAAAGAAAGATTGAATCCGCGAGTAAGTGAGTCACACTCCTCACTCGAACGGATAATCCAACCCCAAAGAACTAAAGTATATCAACCTTTTCGAGAAATGTGAATGTCAATTAAGTGACAAAATTGCTCGTAAGAGCGTGGCTCTAGGCCCCTAACAAAAGTTTAACTCACCGCCCGAGGTTAGTAGTTCAAACCCACAAGTAAAAACTTTTGAACGGGTGACTCATCCCCCGAGGTCGGAGTGTGATGCACCAGGAAGAGGTAAGAGCACGCAAGAACCAATATGAAGTCAAGAGTGTGCGGTATTAACATTTATATTGGAGCTTATTAATCGTCACACTCATATGACGTGACCCGGTAGCGCGAGTGTGTGTGCTCAGCCATTGTACGAGTGTGTGTGCTCGTCCGGCATACTTGAGTGATCAGAATTCAAAGTCCGTTGTTCAATGTTAAAATTACACACACTTAACAAGAGTAAAAGTAATCATATCACCTTAAAATATCTTTTCAAATGTTTCAAATTTGATTTTGACATATTATAAAAATTGAGAAGAGAGCACTTAGCTCCTTGATTGGCCTGATCGGTTGGGCCGACTCGAGCTCTGGGTTGCTGGGCTTGGGCCTGCTGATCCAAGTTCGGGGCTTGGGCCGATTAGGCTCTGAGCCTAGTCCCATAACCCCATCACGAGTCCCCCTCTCCCTTAGTCGAGTAGTAGACTCGGCTAAGAGGGAGTTGTTCAAGTCAGCTGCCAATTAAAAGATATTCACATATCAGGGAGTCATAATTGTGAGTTCTGTCAATCCCACAATTTATGGAGATTTCCAAATTAATTCCTTCAGCATCCTAGTATTCCAGTAGTCAGCTTTCTCCCAGACTTCAAATCCAGATCAACTCCCAAAAATTCTTGAAATTCATAATTATTTTCGGAATTTATTTTATCTTTCCCTTTTTTCCCTCTCTTTCCTTTTTTTTTCTTTCTTTTCTTTTCTTTCCTTTCTTTTCCTTCTTTCCTTTCTTTTCTTTTCTTTCCTTTCCTCTCTTTTTTCTTTCCTTTCTTTTCTTTCCTCTCTCTTGGAACCGCGTGCGTGCGTCTTCCTCGCGTAGCCCAGGGCCGCACATGGAAATCCTACCACCTTTTCTTCCGCACCGGCGGACGAATTGAGCAGTTGGTGCCTCAGGCCTGACATCCACACGCGACTGGCCGGTGAGCTTGGCGAGGGAGGCGACCGACGACCAAGGGCCATCGGAATTTCAAGGCCAGACACGTCCGATGACCCCTCTGCTTCTGTCAGCAACCCACCGGGCCATGGCGACATCCTGTCTTCCCAAGTCGGTAGCCCCATCGGTTAGCGGCAGTGCTTCCAAGTTGGGACGGCGTGTGATGATTCTCAGGTGGGCAAATCCTTTGTCCCTAGCGAGCAGGGCGAACGAGCTATGGTGCGCTCCCGGAGTCAAGTCCCTCTCGGACCAGACGGGCGTGTGATGGTGGCTGGCTGTACCGACCCTAGGCGAGATACCGGAAGGTTGGTGCCTTGGCGGCCAATTGGGACCCGATGGATTCTCGAGCAACAGGCTGTCGCCCGGCATCCCCAGGCTGGCGTCAACCACGTAAGGGCCTTCCCACGTGATGGAAAGCTTACCTCCCTTTGTTGGCTTGCTGGCCTTTCTTCGCCTCAAGACGTAATCACCAACGTCAAAATTTTGAGGCCGGGCTGGACTGTCCTGGTATGCTTTGACTTGTCATCGATAGTTTTCTGCTTTGATGAAGGCACGGTCTCTTCTTTCCTCAATAAGGTGGAGCTCGGCTCGGAGCCTCTCCTCATTGATGGCTGGTTCGAACTCTTCCACTCGTTGGCTGGGAACTACGGCCTCGAATGGTGCCCTCAGCTCAAAGCCATAACACAAGGTGAAGGGGGTCTCTCCGGTCGCCAAAGCACCAATGTTGGTCCAAAGTAGGACGCTCGTAGGCTTTTAGGAAAGCTACGTACGACACTCAAGCAGGAATCAAGAAAGTAATATGAATATGGAAAGTTACAAAGAGCATTTGGTAGTCAGAAATAGCATATAGAATTCCCCCCTTTAATCTGAATTACAACCTGCCTTTTATAAGCGTATACAAATCGTAACCGGTACCGATAATAATGACTAATTAATTACAACATTAATACGGAATCAAATACATAATTAATAGCGCATTAATTGCTTGACCGTTACTCTTCCGGGCTGGGAGGTCGGCCGGATTGGAAGGCTCCCCACTGAGCAGGCAGGCAGGCTCCAGGTTGTGGACTTAGATCCACGGGTTCAAGTTCGGGGTTTCGGCTGATTAGGCACTGGGCCTAGTCCAATTACTCTATCATTGTGTATCTTATAGTTGTTCAAATCTGATATGGTTTGATCTGGTATGATCTGGTCTGATATGAAATTGAAAAACAATCTAAGTTAAAAGAAATCTCAAAATGCTAGTTAGATGCGTGACCATGCGCTAATAAGCTGTTGTGATTATAATTGGTTGAATAAAATTAAAGTAGCTTTTCCATTTCTAGGTCGTTGCTTCATGCTAAAATCGCGAGGCTCCCGGTAGTGTATATTGTTTGATTAGATATGTACTTTATATTTGAGTTACAGACTAAATCGTTGCTATGCTTTATAAAAAGCATGTAAAACATTCACCCTCCCCAACATAGAATATTTTACATTGTACAATATACAATATTTTTTAAAAGTATCCTATAATTTACATTAAGGATATATTTACCTGGACTTGTTTCAATCTCAGATCAAACCATACTTAAACAAGTCAGACCAAACTTACACGGATCAGATCAAACCTCGACAGTTGTAAAATATACATAGATCAAATATCTACCAGAAAAGTTCAAATCAGACCAAATCAGACAATACCAGAAAACTTCAGTTCAAGTAAAACATGTTAAATAATCAAGACAAACAGTGTAAACATTTTAGTTCATACATACACTTTATATGCAAAATAACTATTTTACATTTTATCAAACACACCATATATTAGATTAAGAAGATTGGATTGATTCTTGGCCTGATCATAGTTAATGATAAGAAAGGTTTACGGTACCAACATTTAGAGTAGTTTTGGTAGCGAGCATAAAATATAATGGACTAATGGCATCGTATATAACATGTGATTTAATGAATTTAAATATACCTAATTCTGGCAACTATAACTTATATACTCACTCCGTCCCGTTGGAATGTTCCCGCTTTCCTTTTTTAGATGTCCCGTTGGAAAGTTCTCATTTCCCTAAATGGAAAGTTATCTTACATCAAAACAGGTTCAAACAGTGCAAAACAGTGTCAAACAGTGTCGAAACAGTGTCAAAACAGTAAAATTTACCCCCTGGTAAGTTTATTTCCTTAATATGTGTGTAGGTCAAACCGAGAACATTCCAACGGGATGGAGGGAGTATAAGGGATGGGTATATATAAGCGATGGGTTTAAGAATGTCTTGCTCTGGTCTGATCTGGTCTGATGTGATATGTTTAAGTCTGGTCTGATCATGTTTGAACCGGTCTGTCGGGTAAACGTCTGGTCTCTATGTATTTTATATTTGTCCAAGTCGTTCATTCGCCAACGTTCTTTCCTTCAACGTACCTGCAATCTCAAGCGCGCGCTAGAATACTTAAAATCAGTATAATGATAGGGGCACCAGAAAATCTGAACGTCTACAAAGAGGGGGACGGGCACTAGTTTTTTTGCTCTCGTTAAAGAATCTGCACTATGTACTTTATTAAATACGGAGTAGTATTTTTTTCTATTTAATGAATTATTAATATTATATTTACACATATGAATAAATAATTAAATAATAATCCCTCTGTATCATAAATTTTGGCCAAATTTCTTTTTCGTAGTCGTTCCAAAATAATTTGTAATTTTCGTTTAAAGTAATGAATATGTGGTTAAAATAGTCTCTCTCATCTATTCAAATCTCAATCACGCAATATTTACTTTATTATTATACTTTTAAAATGATTATACAATTAGCAAAACATAAATTTATAAATAATTGGCTATTAGCCCTAAATGGGTCTAAAAGTAACCTTAAATTCAATAGTGGGACTATAATCCTTTTATTCCCAAAATAGGAGTAATATATGTCTCTAATTCGGTAATTCCTATTGTACCCTCTTCCTATAATTTCTAAAAGATTTATTTATTAATAAGAAAATCATACGTAGTAGTTTTATATATAATGGAAATTTAAAAAACCACAAAAATATTTATAAATTAAGAATGAAATAGATAAAAAAAATAAATAAAATAAAGAAAATAAAAAAGTAAAAAGTAAAAACAATATTTAAAAAACTTAAAATATCTAATAAAATATCTAAAAATAAATTAAATATATACAGGCCACTACCTCCGTATTCCTCACTTCTCCACATCCCAACACCACCAACTCTGGTTGTCAGAAAAATGTCATCGTGTGTAAAAAATGTTGTATTCCTCTCGAAAATGTTACTTTTACTTTGAAAATTTCCAGCTTTCTTTTAGATGACATTTTTTCAACTTGGCATTCTCTTTTGGCGAATGGAGGAGGCGGTGCTAAAAGGTGGTTCAGGTGGTGGTTGCAGCCTGTACATTTTTTATTTTATTTTTTTATGTTTTTCTAATTTTATTTTTTAATGTTTTATTATTATTATTTAAGAATCATATTCCCTCCGTTCTTTATTAACTGTCTCGCATTCCTTTTTGAGATGTTTTTAATTATTTGTCTCTCTTTCTATTTTAGGAAGTTTTTTTTATAAAATACCCCTGTTTTTATTACTTTTACCCTTCTTACTTTTTACAAACTACTTTCTCTTTCCTACTTTATCATAATTTTACTCTACTTAATATATTATCTTTCCTACTTTATCATCACTTTACTCTTTTAATATACTTTCTTTCTTACTTTATCATTACCCTATACATTCTACATTTACCCTACTATTTTTCTATTAAAACTTAGGCCCAAAACTAGTGGGACAGATAATAAAAAACGGATGGAGTATTAAGAATGACACGTGAAAGATAGAATAGGAAGTGTTACTCTTATTTTGTGAATTTAAACTATATGCTCTTATTAGTATAATTTTGCTTTTATTTAGTTGTAGGGAAATATCCCATAAACAATGCCTACGGAGTATTAATGACCGTATATCATCATTTTTATTAGAGAAATTTATCATGGATATTACTAAAAGATGATGTAGTTCCCATTATATGATTAGTTTAATATTTATCCTAATTTATGACCTCACATGATGACTCCATTCACATGGTGGTTATTTTTTCAACGGTCCCCTCCTATTAAACTGTGTGTCCATGTTTGGCTTTATATGTTTGGTCTTATGGATGATATAAAAACACACATGATCGTATTTTGGGAAAACTCACATGTTTTAGTATTATTGAGTTATTTTTCCCTTTTTATTGCGTATTTTTCACATGAACCAATTAAGCCAAGTGCTCATGTACTATGTATATATGAACACATGCATTATTGTACGTAGGTTGTTAATTTGCAAGCAGAGTTGGCTTATGTTCAAGCGCGGCTATCAGCGCTCCGTCACCAGCAGCGGCGGCTTCCAGAGCGATCTTGTGAGATGAGTTTAGGCGCCGCCGGCAAGGGGTTGAAGCTTGACCCGGCCGCTTCTCTTGAAGTAGTAGTCCCACACAACTCAGCCGCCGCAGCTGCCGGTGGGGACGTATCATTACCCTGCATTGCGTTGGACCACACACCAATTGCAATCTCATCGGACACTGCTGCTGCTACTACAAGATCAGTCGGCGGCGGCGGCGGCGGCCATTCCCATAATGAACAGCAGCAGCTGCAGGTTACTTCGGACCTCCACATGTTAGCTTGGGAATTCGTGTCTAAGCACTTGCCAGCGGCAGGTGTCACATTTCGGCCTTCACAATAATTAACCTGCAACTCCGATCCGGCCATCACATTTAATTAAGCTATTAAATTACTAGTAGTGTTTACTTGACCTGTTTGGACATTGGCGGTTTAGGTTAAACCGCCATTTTTTTACAAAGTGAAAAGCTGCTTTTTGTAACGTTTTGTTGTGAAACCGCCGAGAAACAAACGGATACAAATTTAACAAGCTATATAATCCTCCGTACTATATTGTACCCAAATTTAACGTAAGTCATCTATCTAATATAGTCATATATTAATATACGTATATATATACACACATATGTACTACACACACATATATATACATATATATAGAGAGCCGTAGATGAGGCTGTGCAAGCTGGGCTACTGCACAGGGCCTCCAAAAATTAAAGGCCAATTTTTTTTAAATTTAAATAGTATATGTATATAAAGTAGAGAAATATTCAGGTTCGGAACTCCGGACCAGAACCGCTGTCCGGACGGTGGCGTTTCAGCGTCTTCCCGGTTGACTATTTTTATGAAATTTTTATGACATGTTTTTCAGCAAATCTAGTTTATCTAAGAAGAAATTCAGATAAATATTCAATCGGGAAGGTCGTCAAATAATTTTTGGAAGTTAACTGCGTTTTATATGTATATTCCGGCGCAGTTATCTTTCAAAAATCATACGACGGCCTTCCCGATTGAATTTTTAGCTGAACCTTTTTGTGGATAAACTAGACTTGATGAAGAACATGCCATAAACATTTCATAAAAAAAATCACCGGGAAGGGTCTCAAACGCCGCTGTCCGGACGGCGGTTACGGTCAGGATTTCGTGACCGGAAGAGTACTCACCGGGGAGAACACTTTTCACATCGAAGTTTAAATTGTACCTTGGTCAAACAGGACTTTGTTTTTTGTGTTGGGGGGTAGTTCCTGACGTATAAGCTGTCTTCATTGTGCGGTATCTATTCCCTCTACCAGAAAATGAACATTAAATAAGATCACAGCATTGAAAGTACTGATGCATGGTGCTTACTACTCACAGTGTTGCTTGCTCATTCTTTTTGTATAAATTCATTTTTGTTCCATTGAATATATAATAATGATGGTGGGGGTGCAGCTTATTGGCAGTATGTAATATGCAATTTCAGTTCGCCCAATGCATTCAAATACATGCTTTATTCTAGTGAGGAATCTGATCTAGTTGTCTCTTTCTCTTTCTGGGAATGGCAAGGATCTATGACGTGGCACACTATCACCAGAAGTGGCGCGCAGCTGGCAGAAGTTAAACGGCTGGAACGTGGAATAAAGGAACAATCATTGCACAACGGCCGAGACGTTACAAGAGTCCCATTCGAGCTAATGCATCATTAATAGCATTTTTTGTATCAGTTTCTTTTTGTAACATTAGTTCCTTATCCTATAAATACAACTTGTAAACCTCCAAGAAGGGGATCGATCAATAAAACATTGCCTTACGCTGCCACTGCACATTATCATCTGCTTCCGTAGATTTAACTCTTGTTGTTGGATTAAACTCCATCACATATAATAGCTTACATATATTGTTTTTATGAATGCCACTACAAAAAAAAATCGCTTGTAGTCACGGACCGTAGTCGCGGATTTGGTCCGTGACTAGTTAGTCACGGTTCTAATCACGGTTTAGTCACGGATCGTTTTTTAAAAAAAAATATCCACGGACAAATCCGTGACTACGTCCGTGACTATGGTCGGATTTAGTCCGTGACTAACGTGTTCCGGCCAACCCAATTTTGCCGCTGGTGGGGTTTTTTTTTAAATTTGAAATTAGTCACGGATGGTTCTGTGACGAGTTCCGTGACTAAAGTTAGTCATGGATACATCCGTGACTAATACCGTGACAAGTGCAAAATTAACTTTTTCAACGTTCCAAATATAAAGTGCTCCGACAAATCGTACAAAAAAATGTAGTCACGGACACATCCGTGACTACGTCCGTGACTAGAAGTTTTATATATGCAGCCTTCGCTTCATTCAACAAAATCACACCATCTACTCCAGATAGAATTCCAGATAGAATTGAAGGATGTAATCTACCCATCTCATATCATTTTTCCTGTTTATGCAGATAAGATATGTAATTTGAATTACGTATTTTTTGTATGAATTAGTTGGTTCATTTTAGCTACATTAGTTAAATTAATTAATTAGCTACATTAGTTAATTAAACTTTTGTTAATATTATTAGTTAAATTTAAATTAAATGCATTTAAATGAATTAAGTAAATAAATTAAATACTTAATTAATTAACGAAATAAATTCCTTAAATTTAGTTACGTTAAACGTAGGTGTAATTTAAACGTACATAGGGTTAATTAAGTTGTATTTAATTAATTAAAATTACGTAAATTAGTTAAATATGTACATGTAGATGATATTATTAATATTAATTAAATGTAAGTATTATTTAATTCAAATGACTTTATATATGATTAAATATAAGTATATGATTTCTTTATATATTAGCAATTATTGTTAATTAAGGCGGCCTAATTTAGGATTAATAGTGATTTAAATTAGGGTTAGTTAATTGAAACATTACTTAAGTATGATGATTTATGATTGTGAATTACGTAAATTAGTAAAAAAATTATAATATTAGTTAAATTTAAGTATTTTTTAATTTAAGTGAGTTTATTATATATATATGCTCAAATTATTGGATTTGCTCATATTATTTAATTTAGTAAATTGTTAAATGTGCATTATTAATAAGATTGAGATGTTGATAATTTTAGTATTGTGGATTAAATGTCATTAACGTATTGTGCATGTTTATAGTTTAATAATATTAATTATTGGACGTTAGTTAATTTTAAGGGAATTTTAGTGATTTTTAGTGAAATTTAAGGGAATTAGTTAATTTTAGTATTGTGGATTAAATTTCATTAATGTATTGTGCATGTTTATAGTTTAATAATATTAATTATTGAACGTTAGTTAATTTTAAGTGAATTTTAGTGAATTTTAGTGAAATTTAAGGAAACTAGTTAATTTTAAGGGAATTAGTTAATTTTAAGGGAATTTTAGGGAATTAGATAATTTTAAGGGAATTTTAGTGAAATTTAAGGGAATTAGTTAATTTTAGGGAATTAGTTATTTTAAGGGAATTTTAGTGAATTTTAGTGAAATTTAAGGGAATTAGTTAATTTTAAGGGAATTAGTTAATTTTAAGGGAATTTTAGTGAAATTTAGTGAAATTTAATATATTAATAATACTCCACATATGTTGGTAATGTTTATAATTTAGAGTTTTTAACCTGTATAATTTTTTTATTATAATATTCAGGCATAATGTATAGAAGAAATAGAATTTGGATGTATGATAAACATGCGGTATTGTACGGAATGCAATCAAATTTTCTTGAAGGAGTTGAGGAGTTTATTAAATTCGCACTTGAACACCCGGCTTATATGCCAGAGTTTCAAACTGGCTTCGTCCTACTTTTAAGCGTGCCTGAGCTAGTGGGATAAGGCCTCAATGGTGTTTGGATGAGGTATGGGAAAACCTCGTCCGCCACTGGTCTTCGGATCCGACTTTCTTGGCTAGAAGCGAAGCCGGGAAGAAAAATCAGATGTCCGAAAAGGCATTGACGACACAATGGCACAGAGGCCACAAACCTCAGAGTAAACATAAAGAAACTCTTGTAAGTCTTATTCAAATAAACCTTACATCATTTTAACCCTTTATTTTTTTACATTTATTTAAACCTTTTTTCGAACCTTGTAGGCGGGGCCTCAAAAGAAGAGAGTTTCTATCCTCAAGGTCATCAAACATTGTCGGACTCCGCACGGTGATGAGTCGGAAGCCAATCTGCCACCCCGCCTTGCTGAAATCGAAGTACGTAACATCAATTTTATTATTTCAAATCGAAGTAAATATCATTTCAATAATTTTTGTACATGCTTGTAGACAAAGTATAACGCAAATGTTGAGAAGAAGCGGGCGGAACTAGGCTTGACGCAAGAAGATGACATCGATTCTGATGTGGAAGATGATGCGATCCTTGAGGCAGCTGGGGTGTACAAGGGTCGGCTTCCGTGCCTTGGGGCTGAGGGGCAACGTATTTTGTACGATCGCAGCGGCAGCGGAGCTTCATCATCTTCTCGATCTAGGTGGGGAGAGGATCCATGCATCGCCCAATTGCAGCGAGAATTGGAGGAGCAGCAGCGGGCATTCGAACAGCAACGGAAGAATGATGAAGAAACAAGGGCCCGGTTGGAAGCAATGGAACGGATCCTTGCCGGATATCAGCCTCCGCCTCAGCCTCTTCCTCGGCCGTACATGTTGCACGTTGAGCAGACTCCTCAGGTTCCGCACATGGGTAATATGGATTATCACTCTAACTCCGGATATGGTGCCATGCCTGCAATGGGGTCGATATTCGGATCTCTGTCGTCTGATATTCTCAATCAGTTTCAGTCATTCGGTGGAGGCAGCCGAGGAGGCAGCCGAGGAGGCAGCCGAGGAAGCAACCGAGGAAGCAACCGAGGAGGCAACCGAGGCAGCCGAGGAGGTACCCGACCCTTAGACACCGTGGATGCTGAAGAGGATCATCATCGTGATTATGATGATAATGATGACGAATATGATTATGATGATTCTAATTTTTATCATAATGGAGTCTGACGTACGGGCATGTAATTACATAATATTGTTTAACATTGTATGGATTTTGTTTTTATAATTCAGTCTGTAATAACATTTTTTATGTTTACGATTGTATGGATTTTGTTTTTATTCTAATTGCTTTAAAGTAAAATTAAAATAATTTTTTATTTTTTTTTATTTAAAATCGATTTTTCTTAAAAAACCAAAAACATTAATCACGGATTAAATCCGTGACAATTTTTTAATCCGGAACTCTTTTCTAAATTCATTTTTTTTCAAAACATAGTCACGGATACATGTCCGTGACTAACCGCGGGCTTTTTAATAACATTAGTTACGGACGTGTCCGTGACTACTATAAAAAATAAAAAAATTTAAATTAAACTTAGTCACGGACATTGTAACACCCCCAAATTTCCCTCCCAAAATAATACTTAAAGAAACAATAAACTTTTATTATTTATTCGAAACTTTCAATTGTTTGCAGCGGAAATAAACAACAACAAGGAAAAGGGGCGTGTTACCGCCACACCCAACTCTCAACTGACTGGATGCTAAGGTTATCCACCATAAATGTATCTAAAGTAAATATTAAATTCAACATTTAAAATAATGAAATCTAATCAAGTTTATTCTAAACGAGACTACTCTAAAAGTCTTCTAGGAGCGCTCTCAAGGCATCAGTCTTCATATATCACATCATCTGTAACATAAGAAAATAAAAGAAACAAATAACACAAAAATTAGCTTTTGCTAAGTAAATCCCACCCAACCCCGTAAAATAATAGTTTTGTTCAAAAATAAGTATTTGTATATATGATACATACAAAAATGAGTTTCCAATAATTTAGTTTCAAAAAGAGTAGTAATATTTGCAAAATATTTCTTCAATAGTTCATGTACGTATTTCCAAGAATAATTCTCCACGTACAGAAATATTTGTTTTCCTCAAAATAGCTTTATAGCTAATTCTCCTAGTTATTCAGAAGGGCGGTGCTCAAGCGTTACCTCGATTCTTGAGCCCAGTGATCCGTTGTTTTGTACGGTCACTCCGATCTTCTCTCGGTACCTCATCTCCTCTATTAGAATCTAGACTTCTACCTTAAGTGTGCACATCCCCTAAAGGGATTCTAAGCCCTCCGAGTAGTATGAAGTCTAAGTAGTTCTGACGTCAACGTCCCCCTACTCTGAATGGGATATACTCCTTAGGTTCTAGGTTCAAAGACCCTTAAGAGAATAAGTACTACTACTACTACTGCTCTAATAAAAAGGGATCCGATGCCCAATTGTTCGGGGTGGTTACCGAACCCTCCAAAATTTATTTAATTTGTGTCCAGCCTCTCAGTTCAAGTAGTAGTAGTCCTAACCCTCCCTCACCATTAACGGACGTGAAGGTGGCCCAGCACCTACGGATTTCTCCCGCGATGCCCCACATTAAGAAAACAATCTTTTATCTTGTTTCAAAATCCCATATTTATGTCTCTTGGACTGAGTTTCACCACAAGGATTATTTATCCTGAAATTGTTAACTTTATATTTTCTCAAAATATCCCACACATACATATAATCCAATATATCTCAAAATCACAAATACAACTTGCTCACAAATAATTCCTCATTCAAAATATTCATACCATCACACGTACATAGCAATAAATAATTATTTACGAGGTAAAATATAATTTTGGTTGCAATGTGACTTACCTCGAACTCCAGATATTCCTAACAAGCTTCTCTAATGGCTTCTTCTCCAAGTTCACCTTCTATTAAAATTTCTCACAGTCAATATTCATTCCTAGTCATAGTTTAATCGTCCCACCCTTTTCGTTTTACCCAATGTGTTTTTCTAT